AGTTTAAAAATAAGACAAAGCAGGTCTTAACATTTGGTGTCAATTGACAAGTGACGAGTGATGATTTTGTTGCGGAGGAGTAAGTTATAAAAGAAAAAATAAATATTTCAGAAGGTGCATTTTGTTGGTTGCGTGAAAATATACTTCTTCACAAACATTTTTACTTTGAATATAGCACAAGGTCAATTAACAAAAGTAACAAACAACAATATTTCTTTTTTTTTTTTTTTTTGAAAACAAGAGTAAAGTATTTATATATAACAAATGTTCACAATATGTGAAAGAGAATATTTCTAGGATAGATAGAAAATTTGTTCTGTGTTCCTATTGAAAGAAGGATTAAGGAATTGATCAGTTCAAATAATATTTTCATATTCAAATTTGTGTCAAAGATAATACTGGAGTTTAAGTAAAAATTGTCTCCCTCCATCCGTCGAATAGTCAATGTTTTTGTATTCAATTGTAATTGATAAATTAGTTATTGAGGAATATCAAAGGTTGAGTTTGTGTTTAAAAGAATAACTTTTAAGTTTACTACCTTTGAATAAATTGTTTGATAGATATTAGGAATCTTTTAGCTGCATGATGATTTGTTTGAGGTTAATGTTCAACTTTGCTCTTCTGAATATTATGTTTGTTTGGCAAACTGTGTTCTTGTGTAGAATTCCTGTTGTTCTGGTAAAAGTTGTTGATGTTAAAGTTGAAGTGAAGTTGTTTTGTGGGTGAATTCGAAGTTTGGTATTATGTTCTTGGAAATCTAACTTAAAAATTTCAAAGATTTGAATGGCGTGCATTTGTTTGTCGAATTGTTTGATACCGCAGAGCTCACTGAAGATTAGTGTCGTGTTACCGAATTTATAACTAACTTTGCCTACGGAGAGCATTAACAGATTCTTGGCAGCAATGTATTATTGTCAAGTCAAAAACTAGGTCAATGTTATTCGGGCGTAGTTGAGAACAAGAATTTAACATTAACTGACCAACGAGAAACGAGAAAAATGTCAAGGCTCTGTGATCCACTTTTTGCACAGATTTGCACAAAAATTGATATTGAAAGAAAAGTATGAGCAGAATGCTAAAATTTCATCACGTATTGACAGCTTACGTGAGGAAAGTTATCGTACGGAAGGAAAGAAGTTACATAATTATTTAGATTTAAGTGAACCAATTATTTACCTCGTTATTTTTAAAGAAAACTTTCAGCACTAATTTTCTTTTCTTTTTTTTTTTTTGTTTTTCTTTTTTTGTACTTAGCTTTCACCTTTACGTTTACGATGCTTTATGGAAAATATATTACAAAAAAATTAAAATAAGACTGTTGAGAGTGATATAAAATTTCCTAAGGAAGTTATCTAATTAATTTATAGGAACCTTTCTTATGAAATTTTATCAGAAGTATACATAAAATACTATAATTTTATGTACATTTATTGCATTTCACTGTGTTATTTGTATTTTAATTTTGATATTTGCACGAAAAATTCGCAAAAATAAAGACCATAAGAGAGGGGAATGATGCTTATGCTAACTCAAATAAAGTGACGTTTTATTATTTTCATGTACGGCCATCCGTACATTTGAATTAAAGCCGTTTTATGGACACAAAAGCCATGCAAAATGGATTTTAATATACTGGTGATCTGTTGATTGTAATAAGCTTTACAATTTAAAATCTGTAAAGATAGATCTACATAATAACTCCATTGATTAAACTATACACCATTTTAACTAATTTTAGAATATTTAACAACTTTAATGTAAAAATAATAAAATAATTTAAGAAATAACAAATAAATGTTTTAAAAATTCATTTTTCATCGAAAAAGTTTTTTTGCTCTGTGACAATATTATCCATATTCTTAAAAATAACTAAAAGTAACTAAAAGCATTTAAAATTAAATAATATCTTCGTTTTATTGATTTTTGTATATTACAATTCAAATCTGATTTGCTTTCCTCAAAGCCTTGTGCTTTTAACTAATAATATAATCACTAAATTTTACGGTAATGAATTTCTAGAGTTTTCATAAAATTAGTTGGATGGGGAGTAAAAAAGATATATTTTTGCTATGAAAAAAAAAAAAAATGAAAAATATTTATAATACAAAGGGAAAAATATTTATAATATTTTTGCTATGAAAAAAAAAAGGAAAAATATTTATAATAATTTCCAGGATTTATGAATTGAATAGTTTCTGAAAATTTCATTAAAATCCGACAATTATTTTTGCAAGATTTTCCAAATTAATGTCTGTCATAGAAAGAAAGAAAACAACAACAAACAAAAAAAAAACGCGCTAAAATTTTATGTTATTTAGTAGTTCCACTGATAGAAAGAGAAACAAGGTTTTTTAATCAAAAGTTAGAATGTTCTAAAAAGAAGGATATTTTTTTTTAATAATTAAAAAATACCTTGTTCTTTCCCCTAAATAATAACATAAACATTTTGACGATAAAATTTTGTTTTCGTCAAGTTTGGCGTCTTTTTCATCATGCTATGCTTATTTTTTTTAGCGATTTCATGGAGGTGTAGGAAATTTTATATTAAAAAGTTTGCCGATTAACTTTTTAATCTAAAAAAAAGCTAGTATTAAAATTAATGAATCTGAATAAATATTTTTAATTATTTGAAAATTCTCTTTCCTAAATTTTTGATTAAAATAAATTTCGCTACTATTTTTATTGTTACTTTTTAGTTTTTATGTTCTAGTTGTTTAGTATTTTGAAAAAAAAGTAATTTACTACTCGTTATGCATGTTGTAAGTAGTAGTACTTTTGTAAATTATCGAAACGGAATAGTAAAAAATGATTGGTATTTAAGATTAGAACAAACTAACATCATTGGTACAATCTGGCCTAGCCAGGCCACTTGTGGGTAGGAGATGAAATTAATTAATATTGTGCGCTCAAACGGGTGGCACCCTAGGCTTTACCTCTCTTTCGAGAGGAGGTTAGGGTCATTACTTGGTATCTGAGGCGTCACCAAAAGGGAAAGTGCCGAGTGGGGTTGAGAAATTTTTGTTCTTAGTACACGTATGCGTGGGCTACCAATTCACTTTAAAACTCGACCTTGTGTTACATTCCTCTCGAGTGGGTGTGCGGTTAAATTCCTTCAGTGCACACAATGAGGATCAAATTCGCTAACGAACTGGTCCGTTTCTTGACGATCTTCTTCTTTCATCGACTAAAAGGGAAATATCTTCCTAAATCTGCATAATAGCAGAAAGGAAATTTTACCAATTTTGAACAGTTTTTGCATTTTATTTTATTAAGATATCTGTTGGTTGATGCTGTCGTGTACACATTTTTAATGTTCAATTAAGTTTAAATAATGTAGGAGGCGCTTTTCTTTTTTTCCTTTGAAATAATTTGCACCGTTAATAAGTTCACAGTTCTCCAACTTTTGGATTAATTTAGTTCTTTTCTGCTTTTCTTTTTTGAAAAAGTTTAAAACTGTTACAAACAAAATATGATTGATTGTCGTTGTATTAAATAGGAATATGTAGAAACTACAGCCCTACGACTTAATTAATATAATTTAATTAATGATTAAACTTCGTTAAAATAAGTCCCCCCAAATTTATTTTCCCAGTCGGTTGCGTAGGAAAAGAGCTAAAGAAAATAGAGTGACCTCCCTTGGTCGGTGTTCTTTACACCGGGGAATATGGCCCACATGTCGAAGACGAAATAAATGGATTGGACTACATAAGAGAGAAAAAAGAAAAACACCATCGGAGGTGAATTCAATAAGTTTTGATGCAAGTCGGCACCATATTATCATACTCCTGCTAAATAGCATAAAGTACCATTGTATCTTTAATAGTATGTTTGGATAGTGTTACGCATAATAAAGGGTTGCTTGTGTAAACCCTTCCTGCATAGGAGGGTAAGTACACTCCAGCCCTTGTTAATTTCGCTTATTTTTTTTTCTTTATTTCTCGAAGACTGACAAATAAGAAGAGTATCTTTATTCGCCCTTGAATTCGCTTATGTTGGTCTTTCAAACATTATTAATTTGGGAAAAAAATACATTCATTATTCTTTCTTTCGAATTATTAAACTTGATTGTGTGTGTAAACTTTACACACACACACACACACAAAAGGAGTAACGTTTTACCCCAGGACCCGTGTCAAGAATATAAATATTTTCATTAAAAAAACAAAAAAAAAAAACTTAAACATGTTATGGAAGTTACCTGCACTGACATAAGCTAGGCACAGTTGGTCCTTCTTCCTATGGAATTAATAGTGAAACGAGAACCTTATGTAAACAAAATTATAAAAACTTGCTCAACTACTGTCTGTTACTTTTTTGTACTTTAGTCACTGCATCGGTTAAGCTACAGTCTAAGTGTGACTAGTAGTGTGTGTTTTGGATTTTAAATTAACAGATACATAGATTAATTATCTGTTGTTTGAACAATGCAAATAATTGTACTTCAATTATTTGCGTCTCTAATTGAATGTCTTTCTCTTGAAGTCATTAAGGGGACAAATAAAATTAAAAATAATAATACTCGACTCAGGCCCTCTAAAACATAATGATCTTTTCGTCTTATTGCCAGTTCATTATTATCTGTATTTTATAGCATCTTTTTTTATTATTATTATTTTAAAACAGATAAAGTGTAGTAAAATAATTTTAGAACTTTGTTTTTCTTTTAATACGTTTTTAAACTACAAAAAAATCGTTGGTTATGCATAAGCAAAGTACAGTTTGATTTTGCGAATTCATAAACTTTGTCTCGTGGCTGTTTGGAGTAAATTAATTGACAAAAATTAAATTCGACATTTGGATACATTTTTATTTTTTATTTTTAACAGAAACCATAGGTTTCAATTTCATTTTTTTTTCTACTCTGTTCCCTGACTAAATCCGTTTCCCTTTAAAGTTTACAGTCTTTTGGGCTTTATTTATTCCCAACCAAACACTTTTTAGTGCCTTTTTAAATTATTATAGAACTAATAATAATTACCTGTCTTCGAATCATGTCGCAAATGCACAGAAGACAGCAACCGCGTCAACACACCAAGATTGAATTTGTCCTGGGTGGAATTGCCACCTCCGGTGCTGGTTTTTTTACCAATCCTCTTGAAGTAGTCAAGACCCGAATGCAGCTTCAAGGTGAGTTGAAAGCAAAGGGCCAGTATACTGTTCACTACCGCCATGTCTTCCATGCCTTTTATACCATTGCCCGCAACGATGGCATCAAAGCACTGCAAAAAGGACTTGTACCGGCATTATGGTATCAATTCTTTATGAATGGAGTTCGTTTAGGGACTTTCCAAGCGTTTGATAATATGGGATTTACCCGCAACCGAGATGGACATGTCAGCTTTTCGAAGAGTGTTTGTGTCGGAGCCGTAGCTGGTTGTATTGGAGCAATTGTTGGCAGCCCATTCTATATGGTAAGAAGCTCTGTTGTTGTTTTGTTTTGCTTTTTTGTTTTTTTTAAATAAACTGCGCGATTTGTCTACACGTTTCGGTTTGTTCATATTTTGTTTACTGTTTTAAAATGTCTTCTTACTTGTGAAGAAAGTGAAGCTTAAAAGGTAAAAAAAAATTCAAACTTCTGTTTTTGAAACCCATAGCTTTCTTTCTCATAAGAAGCGCACACGTAGAAAACCAGTTTTATGAGGCGTTATATACCAAAGGAGCCCAGTGCCCTCTTATTTGAAAAAAAGACGGAATAATAGGCACAGTATAGTGCAGTAGTAGAACACATTGTGTTTTTCTTGTTTTGTTTATGTAATTTATAATTTAAATTAAATTACTTTAATTTTCGTTATCTTCAATTCACTTCAATAATTCAAGAAAATTAATAATTCTTTTATTTTATGAAAACATTTTCAAACTAAACAAACACACATGGGTGGATATCCAAATATTTTTGAAATGTCAATGACAAAATTAAATAAAACGTTACCACGATGTGACAATAAAACTGAAGGGCATTTCGGACTATTGTCCTCATCTTTGTCGCCATATTTATTACAACGTTTCGGCAAATTAACAGGAGATAATTGACATCCATTAAATATGGCACGTGGAACTAGAACAGCTTACCCCAGTGAGCGAAATAAAGGGTTCAGTTCGACATTCCGACCACCTGAAGAAGGCCGAAGTGTACACACGGCCGGAACGTTGTAATAAATATGGCGACAAAGATGAGGACAATAGTCCGAATAAGTGTACTGTGTACATGAGCTCATCTCAGAAATATAGACAGATACTGAAGACCATTTCATTTATGGATTTTTCGTTTTAATTTTTAACAATTAAAAAAACGCTTTTGACTTTCCAAATACTGAATTATCGTTTTGTTATTATTGCTTGTTTTGTGTTTTTTTTACCTCATATTCTGAAAATTTGTTTCCATGAATTAAAAAAATTATTCTGTGACTAACATCTAGGTTTGCCAACCATTCTTTATATTGGAAATGGCAATCCTTTTAGTTTAGTTTAGCTTTTTCTGTTCTTGTTCTTTGATGAATTTTAGACGCTACATGTTCAGATAGTAATTTTGAATGAATAAATCATTTATTCATTAAAAAGAGGAATAATATGAGATTAAAAATAAAATCCATTTATTATAAATGGATTTTATTTTTAATCTCATATTATTCCTTTTTTTAAACTAAACATTATATTTTTAGTGGACATCCTGTTTTTTTTTTTTGGCGGGGGCGGGGGGATAAGCAGTATGAATTATGCTTACCAGCCTGTGAATTCAAAAGTCTTAAAGTAAATGTGCTGTTGGGCAGAGAAAACTCTGCTTATAAATGACACATTGTCTGCTGTTTGCTGACTCCAACCAGATGCACTTTTAAAGTAAACCCTTTCTAAGGAAAATACCTTCAAGAAATTAAATGTTGATAATTCTTTTAAAATTGATAAAATAAATTATTTTTCTGTCATTTACAATTCAAGATCTTCACAGTCTGCTTTTGCAGTTCATGGGGATATTCAAATAGTAACACGTTGGGTAAGAGGGAAGAGGTGTTGAATTGAGGCATATTTTTTCTTTGGTTTCATATAAAAGAGGGGCTTACAGCCACATCATGTTGAAACATCAGTTCCCATAAGATCACCAAAGTTAAGCAATGTCATACCTGGTCCATACTTTGATGGGTGACCACTTGGAAATACTAGTTGTTGTAAGCTTGTTGTAACCAAATTATTCCCCAGGCATCTAACATTCTACAGATGATGTTATTTACCAAGCAGAAAATTCTGATCTACTTTTGCAGGTGACACAAAGATAGTGTGTTTGAATTTTGCAATTATTATATTTTGTTATAGAAACAACAGGATTAAAATTGAGAACAAGGTGACTGCAACGCAAGGGAAGTAATATTGTGAATAATGCAGAGTGCCTAAGGTTAAATGTGAAAGCCCTTTGGATAATTATTGAAAAATTGAGCTGTCTTGGTCATTTTGTGTCAATCACAGAAGGTGTTTTCATGAAGACCTGAAAGCTCAGTTGAATGCCAGTAGAAGGCTAATCAAATCCTTTAAATGTTGAAAACTGTATTAACAGGAAGGGGTGAATCTATTTGGTCTGATTTTGGTTTTAATCTATTTCTTGATAATGAAGATTTTTATATTTTGCATGGTTGTATAATTCTTATGGAAATGGTATTGTACCACAAGTAAACTTTTCAATCAAAAACCAAATCGTCTTCTGTATTAATTAAAGATCTCCATGTCGATAATCATGATCTGATCACATATTCTTAGGAGGAAATATGGCAATTTGATGAACTGGCTTTTTGCAGCTTGTAAATGGTTTGGTTTCAACTAGCTTCAGAGGAATTGTATATGCAAATTAAAATTTATGTTGAGGGTAATTGCTGGAAGCTGTTGAAAATCACTTGATGCTTATACTTGGTCTCAATGAAGCATTACATTTAGGAGTCTGTCTATAATGTCTGTTTTATTTCAGTCGGCTTATATTTGTGTGAAATGTGAGTTCTTTATCTAAAGATGCATAAAGGTTTCCTTTAATGCTGCCTCAGAAAAAAATATCCATTTGTCTTTGCTTTCTTATCGTTCAATAAGTTCAATGTCTAGAGATTAGAGTCAGAAATGATCATGGGAGGTAAATGCACAAAAAGGTACCAAATATATTGTTGTTATAAGAGATTCTAATAAAAACATGTTGAAATCAATGCACAAAACCTTTCATGTTTCAATACTATGTTTGTACTTCTTCAGGCGATGGTAAGTAACTGGTGATTAAAATGATTTTTAAGGAAATTTAAAAACAGTGTTACCTCTTTACTGAAATTTAAAGGGGAGGGGACATAGGTCAGAATTAAAAATAGACTTGTGGGTGTGTCTTGATGAACCAATTAAATGTCAGATCTATGCTAAATAGAAAAGTAAGCTCAGAGGGTGGAGGTGGGTGGGTTATTTTTTCATGTCATGATAAACCCAAACATAAACAGGGTATCATTGAAGATTTTGGAAAATATGTAAGCTACAAATGTATCATGATTGTAGACCTTTTGTCTATATTTGTTGCTGACACATAATATAAAACAATAATAAAAATATATTGCACTACTTTGTATTGAGCACTTTTTAAAAGTAAATGGTACATACAGTGGATTTTTACTCTATCTGTTCTTTCTCCCATTTGTGTGTGTGTGTATATATATATATATATATATATATATAGTTTTGTGAGTGTTTTCAGTAGTCAAGTCATAATAGAATGAATCCTGATATTCATTTCAAAGTTACCTGATTTTATATCTATCGGTTGTTGTAATCCTTTTTATAATGATGATCATTTGCTAAATGCTTCATTAATGTATAAAGAAAGTAGGAAAGATTTAATTTAGACTTGAACAAAAAATTCAGTGAATAAATTTTTCTGTCTTTCAAACAACAGCTTCACAATAAAGACGGGTATTTATATAAAGTGTTGTTAGCAGTTCTTGTAGACTCTTTTCAGATTGATACATAAGACCAAAAATGTATTTAAATTCTGTATGAAAAGAAATTCAATTTCTTTACACCATTAGAAAGTATTGGAAAATATTCTCATATAAAATGGGGATATTTATGTTTGGATTTTTTTTATACTATTAACTAAAAAAAATCAATAATAATAAATTTTTAATGCCTGATATTAATCTGTATTTATTAAAAGGTTTTCTTGTTAAAATAAAAATAGAATGAAAATTATTTTTTTAAATGTGAACTCATTCATCTCAGTTTTGTAATCTCAGTAAACGACTACTTGTTCATAAATACATTTTATGCCTAAAAATTTTTTAAATTCATGATTTTCAAAAATTTTAATCCATTTTTAAAACGTGAAAAAAAAAATTTCAAAATCTTTTTCTTTTCCTTTAAATCTTTCTACTTTGGTTGCATCTGAAATAATCTTCAGTGATGAGCGTTTTAATAATCAATTAAGGAACTTATCAATATCTGCTCTAATTTTTATAGAATATTTTTTTTTTTTATTAATGGATAAAATATGAATTTAGCATGTATGGAAGCCTCATGATAACCAGATAATTTTTCTCTTGGCTGCATATAGTGTTGTGCTAGTCACACTTTATCATGGGACTGACACAAATAAGAATACTTTATCGACATGTAATAAAGATATTTATTTACATCTAAACATGAATACAATGGTTAACATAAACATAATGTCCTTTCTTATATACAGAGAATATTTTGGGTGGACTTACCCATCTGGTGGTGTGAAATAGGACTAGATAGCTTGTACCTTTAAAACACTCGGCATCTTGTACTGTTGATGGCGGAGAGAATATCTCCCGTGTTACTTCTGAGCAGGTCTGGTCCCTTCTCTGTTGGTGGTCAACTTTTTTTGAACCTACATGGTTTTATTAACCAATGAGAAACTGCCTAACATCATATGAACAATCTCTATATATAGGAGCAGACAAATTTTACAAACCCAACAAGAGTTTATCAGTATAAGTAAATTATTTCATCAAGCAATTTTGAATAATTATGTTCTTTTGGACATCCATACAATGGAATAGAGAAACCTTATCTCCAGTTGCCATCTTCTACCAATAAAAATCTGAAAATGACAATTCTATTGAAAAGTAAGCCTGATAATGTAATCATAAAAAGATTGTGTCTATTTACAATGACAAGTAAAAAGATTCTTTGAAATGAGTAAATTTCCTAACAACTTTGAATTGATCGCATTTATTAGAGGAAAAGAAATTCTTAAAACAAATAATTTATCCAAAATTTAAAGTATTGATATCATTCATGTTTTTGTTTTTTAGTTTTATTTTGTTTTGTTTTTTTACTGTCTGCTTAATTCTACTGCCTTCCTATGCTGTACAATCTATAATTGATATATTGCTAACTTTTCTTTTATTTGAAGCTACAAAAATCTGGACACTTAAAATTAACAAATCTCTATGAAATCTGAGCTCTTTCTCTCTCTTATTTTTTATTAAGATTTTTTTTGCAGACCAATATAGATAGTATGAGATATGACAATCTGTTTGCAGGAATGACCTTGTGAAAGTAAAATGTTTGTTTACCTGGCCACTATTGGCTGCTCTCACTTTCAAATTACTCTACTTGTGAGGCAATGGTGCCTTTACTGGAAACATTAGGGGAACTTGTTTTCCGGAAAACCTTTCAGTAATGTACTCACATGTTGTTGGATGTTGGCAAATCTTTATCTTTTCAGGGTATTTTCCAATATTAGAATAATTCTCACAACTCAATATTTCATAGTTTTTTTTTTGTTTTTTTTTAGATTGAAATGTTCTGTTATATATGCGAAAATATATTCTAAAAAATAATTTAAAGAATCAAAAAGTTATTCTGGCTAAAATCAGCATTCTTGAATTTTATATCATGTTTCATCTGATGTTTTCAGCCTTTGTCAAGTGTTTAATTTGTTTGGTTACAGTCTGTTTTTTTCCTCAATGGTTCTATAGATGCAGCCAGATTTTTGCATGCAGATGCCATTCAGTAGACAGTCTGAATCCTGTTGCATGTTATGAAAACAATGTTCTGATCTATGGACAATCTTGTCCCCCCACACACACACACACCATTAAATAATCCTTGCAATACAGTATTTGTTGAACTCTTTATACAGTTATTCATCCCTTATTAATTTTTTATTAGTATTTCTTTCATCTTAATTTTTTAATTTGAGGTGGGCTATAGAGACCAAATTTGGAATACGTTGTCATTTTTAGTGATTTTAGGGGGGGGGCAGGTCGATCTGTCTGACTCCATCCCAATTTCTAAAAATTTTCAAAAAGTTGGCACATTTCCTTCTATTTGGACACAAATGAGTGGAATAAAACACTTCCCCACTTTTTTTTTTTTTTTTTTTTTGAAAAATTTGGTCTCTATAGCCCACCCCTAATATTTGGTCTGTATATTCCACCCCTAATATTTGGTCTCTAACCCTAACCCAGCCTACTCCAATTGCATTTTATTGTAAATTTACCCATGCAATGAGTTTTCATTAGAAAATAAATAGTACAAAACTCAAAAAGAAATTTCCCCAAGCAAAACTCAAACTTAAATCATTTTTACCTAGATAAAAATCAACATTAGTAATACTGCTGGGTTATGTGGAATTAAATGCCTGATTAAAGTTGCGATAAAAGCAATTAAAAAAAAAAAAGTAAGTGAGCCGAAAAATGAAAACTGATTGACATTGTTTCATAAAGAATTATATTCATGATGTTAACAATTTTTGTTTATGATGCTTTAATATTTGTACTTTTTTTTTTTTTTGCAGTTAAAAACGCAACTCCAGGCGCAGGCTGTTGAGGTCATTGCTGTTGGCCACCAGCATAATTATGTAGGCATGATGAAGGGTCTATCAAGCATTTACCAAGATTTTGGCTTGATAGGTCTATGGCGAGGGGTCAGTGGTGCTGTCCCCCGGGTCACCATAGGCTCAGCTATTCAGTTGTCATCTTTTTCCACAGCCAAAGAAGTAATCATTGATTTGCAGGTGAGTAAAAATCTACTACCAATCTTAGAATTACATCTTAACAAAATAAAAAGAAAAAAAACAAAACTTTTAGTGATATTAAAATAATTTACTATTATTACTACTAATTATTCAGTAAGTTTCATTTTAGTTTGGCACAAAACTACACTCATAGAGCATCTTTGAACTTAAAATGGGGCTCCTTATTTTTTTTTTTTTTTTTTTTTAATCTGTTCCATGCTGCATACATCAGTCAGTCAATAAAGTACCTACACCTTTTTGCATAATATAAGCAGTGTAAATTTACAAGAAATACTATTGTCTTTTTCTATTGCGCTATTATTACATTTTGGCCATTGTGCCCTCTGACTTTCATCAAGTATTTATGGATCTAGGTAACCTTCAGGGAATTTCAAACTGAACTCCTTTATTTAGTCTAAAGGGGCAAATTGTTCTTGTTTCACTGATCATCTCTATGGTTATCTCATCTATTTCTTATTTTTAGTACTGCTCAGTTATTTACACTATTTACATTATTCGGACTATTGTCCTCATCTTGGTCGCCATATTTATTACAACATTTCGGCTGTTGTATGCTCCAGCCTTCTTCAGGTGGTTGGAACGTTGAACTGAACCCTTTATTTTTCTCAGTGGGGTAAAATGTTCTAGTTTCACATGCCATGTTTAATGGATGTCAGTTATCAGTTATCTCCTGTTAATTCCCCTCTCCAAATTCTCCACTGACTTAACCGGGTATTGAACTCACACTCTTTGTCCCTGTCACTCTAACCAACGCCTTTATCCACTGTGCCATGTGTCCTCAAGGAGATAACTGACATCCATTAAACATGGCACATGAAAATAGAACAATCTACCCCAGTGAGCGAAATAAAGGGTTCAGTTCGACATTCCAACCACCTGAAGAAGGCCGGAGCATACAACGGCTGAAATGTTGTAATAAATATGGCGACCAAGATGAGGACAATAGTCCGAATAATGTAAATGGTGTACATAATTCCTTATTTCAGAAATATAGACAGATGCTCAGTTATTGCTTGTCCTGTTTTCATCAAGTCCAAGTATGCGCTTTCCTGCCCAAGGATTGAACTCACATTTGCTATATCACCAATTTCATGAACCAATGCTTTATTCCACTTGTCCTAAGTGTAGAACTTGAAGCCTTAAACATAATCTGCTTGCTGACAGGGCTGCTTGTCATATTTAACAGCACTTTCTGCTGCTGAAACCTTGCTGACAACTCTCTCTTTATCAATAGCTCCCATATTGTATTTATTTTTATGCTAGGCCTACTAAGGAGATCCTCATAATGTATGGGCGTTGAATCTTAGACATTTGACTCTCCTGTGTTCTTCTCCATCTTCATTCTCATCTCATTCCACAGTAGTTCATGACAACTCTTTTCTACTTGTACATGATCAGCTATGCCTGATTTCATCGTTTTGCCTATAATTATGGGTTTTTGTATGATCCTCCAGCCTTGCTTTTAGACAGCAACTAGTTTCCCCTGCAAAGAATGTAATACACCCAGTTTTGGGTCATATTCTTCTTTGTGTTAGGCTTGACTAAGCAGAAATTTCTCCATAGTTTCAAAATACTACTGAATATTGTCCTGATGATTTAGACAGGGACTTAAAACATATTTTTGATTGTGAATAGTTGGAATGTGCTAATATTTTTTATATAGAAAATAAATGTATAAAGCACAATTCTTAAAGTATGATTAAAGTTACTCTGAGCATGAAAATTAATAATATTTATATGTAACATTATTCAAGATAATTTAAGCAAAATATTTAAATAAAAATAAGAATGTAATTTTTATTATAGGTTTTCAATGTCCCCCACCCCCCAGCCTTACTTTTAAATAGTAGTTAGTTTCACCTTTATATTCTTTGCCACAACTGCAAGAGATGGAATACACCCAGTTTTTGGTCATGTTCTTTGTTTGGCTTGAGACAGCAAAACTGATAATAAAATAATAAACAAAGAGAAATGCCAGCAAGTCTTCAGCAGCAGTGAAAGGAAATAGATTTGGTAAGTGCTGTTACCATGGCAACCTTGCTACTTAAATTAACCACAGCATTTCTAAGTAACAAGTTTGCCAAGGTTTTTGTTCTGACGATGATCTTACTACAGAATGAAATGTTGACAAGAGAATAAAACATTTTAAAAATTCAGCTGGTTTTCACAAATTCCATCTTACATGAATCTTGAATGTCATTGCCAGTGGTGAAATATATTTAATGCAAGTCACCTTCTCCTTGCACTAATGAGACCAGGTGGCAATGTTTTAGAATTTGCGAGTCTGTTTCAAAACGTTTATAAATCTGGGAAATGCAACTACTGATTCTACAAAACAGCAGACTGCAACAATAATAATTGGTAAAAATAATCTCATCATCATCATCATCCTCATCATTTTTAACAGCAATGCTTAATGAGTATAATAATTAATATAATAAATAATATAGAAATAATTGAATATTTTCCTTTTTATCTCGCAACCCATTACTTGTGATTTTTACCCTTCAAACAAGTCCTTATATTAATGTTTACAGAGTTTAATAAATTTTGAATATCTATAACCAATTAAATTCTTGTTGTTAGGTGCAAAGAATTCTTATTAAACAGGTTTTCTTCTTGAATCCTCCATCAATATGACCTTGTCCTAGTTGGCTCTCTAATACTCTCTAGACATTTTATTATTTTTGTCTCTCAAAACCATTTCTTAATCCATTTAATTTTCTGATTTTTTTTTTTTTTTTTTAATATCAAGATGAATATTTGAGACACAAACCATAGTTAAATTGTCGATGTCAGTTTAATCAAGTAAATTCAGTAAAAGTGAATTAAGTCAGTTCATTAAATCATTTGTATAAATTAATTTTGTTGTACATTTCTAGTTTTTGACTGAGAAGTGTGAATGTTGATTGCATTAATTTACTTAAATCTGATTGTGTTAATTAAACTATTGAATTGTTGTTATTATTTTCAAATCGGTAAATGTTTTCAACTTTAAAATGCAGTCTTCATCTCAAGTCTGAATTGATGACCCTGCACATAAACATGAATAGCCTGATGAATTCAACAGGCTGTTATCATTTGACATAAGGCTACACTAAACGGGTTCCCAGTTAGAATTGATCTCACTATAGTAGCAACTTGCTCTGCTTAAATGGTTTGCTAACCACTAAGTTACAGTAAGTACCAACTTACAAGCTTGTAATTAATATCATTTCAATCATAAAATTTGATTTCTACAAAATTTATAATATTTTAATCTGCTTGGCTTGATGATTAATTAGCATATAATCTTGCATTTATAACGTGACTTTTTTTTTTGTTTTACAGTCAATAAATTCTTTCCTGGCTAAAGCAAACTGATAGATGAAATGATTAAATGAATCTTGCCTTACAAACAAGAGGGATAACTGCTAAGCAATTATACTGCTGCTAAAAATAGCATTTTAGAATTAATTTGCAAATACTAAATTAGGCAATGGACAGATGCTACACTTTAATCCAAGGCAGAGAAAGCAGTATTTCAATTTAAGGTTAACATACATTTTTGATGGGTACTATTTACCAAAGATTCTTTTGCGCAACTGTAGGGGCAATTTTAATGTCTGATACCACTGCTCGGACATAAAACCCTTGAATTGATGGAACTTACACTCGGATGCTGAGAGCTATACTTAACATCTCTTGGATACAACATCCAACTAAGTCATAGCTCTATGGAGCCATCCCTGATATTTCTCCAATCCTACTGCTGGTGAGCAAAACAAGTACTTGCAAGTGATCTGTGGATGCCTAGCCATGGTGCAAGTTGAGCTGGTTGCCCAGCAACCACCTACATTGACCAGTTCTGTTATGACACAGAATGCCACCCTAGTGGCCTTCTGACCTTGTTGCAGAACTGTGATGGTTGGTGTGATAGACTCATGAATATCCAAGCTAGCTCAACTGAATAAAATAATTAGCTGCTAGTTATGTCAGAAAGTGAGATGTTATTTCATGTATTGGGGCAATAGAGAAAACACTAAACAACAATGTCCATTTCTTGCTTTTCTATATTCAAAGTAAATCTCTGTCCATTTGAGGCTCTGTCCTCATTCCTTTGATTGTTGATAGGAGAAACTCCAGAATTTTACCAGTTGAATTCATTGTATTCTGGGCATTTCTCAGAATCTCTGTAAATGAAGTGATGTGCCTGAGAGTCTTGTACCCTGACACCATTCCATTTAATCTCACATTTGTTGCTTTTGAACATTTTTTTCACCTTTTCATCTTTTGTTCATTCACAGTTTACGTTCACTTTTTCTTCCTTTGTTTCATTTGTTTTTGTTTTACTTTCAAAATTACAAATGGAATCTTTAAAAATTTATCAAAATTATGTAATTATTTAATTTTTGTTATCCATTTAAAATTGAGGCATTTTTACCTAAAACTGTTCTCATGCTAAATGAGAGCCATAAATGCTATAACATTTTGCAAATATTTCCAGTTCTATAGTTTACGAAAATAAATCTTTAATACAAGTTTCTGTAACTTTGTTCCTAAAATTAATTTTATCAAAACACTATTGCATTTTTTTTTTTTATCGTACCTGTAATACACGTAATATTTACGCTATATTAGGTGTTATAAGTAATTTTGACATCATTTGAAATATACAGGGAAATGTGCATAGGTTCATTTGTAGATAAAGGATTTGTGCAGCTACAGATTTTGATATCCAATGGAGGTTTCTGAAAGTAATTCTTTCAATATACAAAGGTTCAACAACATAAGGAATCTAATATTTAAACTTTATACTGAGGATATATAAAAATGATATCAAGCCAATATGTTCATTATAAGAATACATTCCTTTTCTTTACATTATTTTTATTTTTTTATTTTCTTGTTCAGGTGTACCTGTCACCTCCAAATTAAACTTTTAAAGAAGCAAGTGTATTTTATATATTACAATGTTATGAGTTTTGGCATTCACTTGTATAGAAATTAATCCTTTGTATGTGGATCATCCATATTTGACCAACCGTGTTTGCCTACAGTCAAAGTGAATTATAATAATTGACTAAAGACTAGTACAAACTGTTGAATCTGCCTGAACGAACAACATTGCAGTTTGCATGCAATAGTAATATGCTTAAAAGTAGACATTTATTTGGAAACTTTCCATTGATACATGAAATTTAATACCATGGCAACTAGACATAGATTCCTGAATCCCCAGGAGACTTGACAAGCCATTTTTGTCTCTTATGACAAACTGGAAATTGATGAATTTTGTCCGAATGTTGATGAAGACTTTAACTGCACTGGCAAGAATCAGGAATATTCTCCTCAGATGGTTGTTTACAATATATTTTGCAATTTTTGGTAATTTTCATGAAAATAAACAAAACTTGATATTCAGGAGTAAAAATGTCACTTCCATATTTACCTGAGCCTAATTCTGTCAGATCCTTTGCACACACATTTTTATTACTTAATTATTTTTAGTGGATACCTATATTTTAGTAGACATTTAATTTTTTTTTTTTTTAAGTTTTTATTTCATCTACAGGCTTTCAAATGCAAATAGGAGACACACTTTCTTCAGTACACAGACAAAATAAACACTTTTTAAAAATGGAGTGGTTATACAAATAAAAGGGTATCTACTAAAAATAATGTTCGTGTGTAAAACTTTATTTCAGTTGAGCTCGCTGGGGTGGAAGTGTGGGTTTGTAAACAGTGACTATTATGGCTAATAATGCAAGACTCTTCGGTAAATCAAATCGAGTTCTCTCAGTCACTGTGTGTTTATCTAAAAATAAATACGCTTAAATTCTGTGGATGACAATATATATATATATATATATATATATATTATATAATTTTAGATTTTAAGACATTTTTTATGTTTATACATTCTTTTTATATGTCTTAAAATAATTTTCAGACTTTTTCCATTTCATAATATATAATTATAAATGTGTGTGTGCACAAGTGTAATGATTAGTGGCTTGGAATAAAAAAAAAATTGGGCAATGTTCAAAGTTCGGTTGAGTTACTTTCATTTTAACACAAATACCCTTGAGAAAGATATGAATCCTTCTGTCACCTCCTCGCCCCCCCCCCACCTCGGTATTGGTTAAATAGTAGGATCAACTGTACTCTTTAGCCTTGATTGGTAACAAGTCAATGAGAAGGACAACACTAAATTCAGGAACTGAGGTGGGTTGTTTGGAGACTTTCTGGCACACAGTGCACCACGTTTGCTTTTTTTTTTTTATCATTTACCACTAAAATTACATCTTATGCGCAAGTAGTCTGGCTGTTTGATTCTATAAACTGAATTATTAGGCCCCCTTACATCTTTATTGATGGCAGAGTCCACACACATAATTATATATATATATATATATATATATATAATAACCATTACGTCTGCTTATTTTGAGCATAATCCTTTCATATTCATGAATATTTGTTCATATATTACAATCAAATGATGCAAGAAATGCACTGCAACAGTCAAAATCACTTATATTTCTCAAGTACGTTCCATCTCTTTCCGAGATCATCATCATGGGTGCAACTGGTAAAAAGATGGAAAGTACTTTGGGAAATAAAAGTGATTTTCACTACTGCAGTGCATTTCTTGTCTCATTTGATTGTAATACATGGAAATTTGAGTTATTGCAATACTGGTAAAATACTGAAAGAATATTCTGGAAAGATTTGTTAATGTTCTAAATTGGATCATGAATCATCATTGATGTTTGTTTTTTTTTGTTTTTTTTTTCAGATTTTTCAGCCAAATAGTTGGCTGAATGCATTATTTGCAAGCATGCTTAGTGGTATATTAGTCACCTTGTTCATGACTCCTTTTGATGTGGTTTCAACTCGTCTTTACAACCAAGGGGTCAATCTCTCAGGAAAGGGACTCCTCTATACAGGACCGATCAACTGCTTCTACAAGATCTTCCAGAAAGAAGGACTTTGGGGATTTTATAAAGGGTGGGGTCCTGCCTTTTTTCGCATTGGTCCACACACAGTTCTTAGTTTGGTATTTTGGACTGAGATTAGAAAAATATACTTTCAATTTTCTGAAAATTTTTAAAGAATCACAGTAAAATTTTTGTAAATATTTGTATTGGGAAGTTTTGAGATTTTGTGTGTGTTTTTTTAATAGCCTATCTTCATTTTGTTTGTATATTGTGACATTTTTTTATTTGCTTTGTCATTATCAGGAATTGTAATTTATCAAGAGTTGTGGATGCATAGAAGATAACAAGAATATCAGCAGAGTCCTGTGTTTATAGAATGAAAAAAAAGAAAAAAACCCGCCTTAAACTTTCTTCATCAAAAAATGATAAAATGTTATAAAAACTTTCTGCTTTTCAATCTGTCATCCAGCCAAAATGAAAAGTCCAATTTCTGAAATAAAAATGAATTTTTTTTTTTTTTTTTTGAATTGTTAAAATTTTTAAAAAATCCAAACTGGTTTATTTACCTTTATTCTCTTGTAAATTTGTGGATTTGTTAAGGTATTTTGGAACCTTGACATTTTGTCCTTTTTCAATATAAGTTAAAAATAATTATTCACATTTAAAAGAATCTTTTTTTTTTTTCTGCATAGATGATCTCCAGTCTATTACCAAATAGAAAATCTAATGTATTTTTGCAGATAAAAGATCAAATGATGATAATATTAACAAGTGTTGTCATTACAACCATTTTTATTTCTTTTTAACACTTCAAGAAAGTTTATTAAAAAAAAAAATCTGGGTGGAGATTTCAATAAGGATTTCTGAGCCTGTTCATTGAAATAACTTCACTTTTAAATAAGTGCCTATTTATCATATAAAATATGACACAGAACCAAGATTACTTCAATATCAATGAGTTAATCACAAATTCATGAATACATCATCAACATAATTATAACTAAAGATGAAATCTGATAATTTCCATTATCTTGATAGATAATGAGTTCCACTGTGGTACAGTGGTTAGCCTGTTTAGCTATTAAGTGTCTAGCTAGTAATGTGTTTAATCCTTGATGTTTGCTCCATACTTTTGATCTACTGTCTGGTTGAGATGAGTATAATTGCATATATCCCTTTGGCAGCAGTGAGAAGTGTTCAAGCCTAGAGAAAAAACTGTATTTCAAATACTGACTTTTTTTAAATGCTGCTAGCTTCCCTTCCTGAAGGATGCTTGCAGCAAAACAATTTTCTTAATTTATCATTTATCTGTACAAGGAAAACTCATTGGCAATGGCCATTGAAATAACTAACTTATAAATGCTGCAGTAATTGTCTATATAACAAAATCTCTGTTAAATATAATAACAGAATGAAAGAGATATTGGTCAAAGAATATGATGTTTTAAACGCAAAACCAATGTCATTAGGTTTAATTTAGACTTGTAATAATTTTTCTTATTTACTTTTAAATCTATATTAATCCTCATTACTGCATATTTGTCTATCTTGTAGTCTTCTGTTTTTTTTCCTGACAGTCTGTATCCTAAGGGAATAGTTAGACTGTCAATTTCTCCTGACAGTGGCCGTCATTTTAACACTTTTTGACATTGACCACTTTACAGCCTGAACTTTCACTCCACTCTCGCACTATCTTCCGTCATTTGATTTAAATGTTTTAAGAAAGAAAATAAAAGAACAGTAAAGATAAGGATAATTATCCTGAAAAATGTAATGTCATTTGCTGAATTATTTTTTTTCTCTTTTTGTATAAGTATTTTTAATGTATATGATTGTGATTATTGTATTTAGAATTTTATGATATATAATTTCATACACATCTTTTCTAAATAAAATTTAAAAAAAAAAAAAAAAATCTCCCCCACCCCCAAAAAAAATCCTCCTAAATAAGAACTTTATTGGGAAACTACTTTCCAGTTTAAGATGAACTCAATTCTAAGGTTTTCACAGATGTAAAAGATTCTTGTTTTTATTAACTCTATTTTGTTTCTCTTGTCCAATAATTCAAATTATTATAGACTCTCCATCATCAAATAAACTTCTTTATTTTAGAATGAAAGATGTTGGCAAATTTGAATAATTTGTGATATGCCATGCAAGACAATTGGAACAGGTTGGTTGTTTTGTTTTTTTTTCTCCACAAATCAGATTTTGGCTTTGAAAATTTCTCGGAGCCAATCCTCTAACCCATCATGAATTTAAAAATAAATGTAAGATATTTTTTTTTTTTTTAATTCCTGCAAAACTAAAGTTCAAAGTTCATCTCCCTAATTGATGATTTGGGCAGTTTGATGACTTTAACTGCACCGATTAATTTAAAAAATTTTTTTTTTTTAATATCCTTGTAATTAATTGGTATTAAAAGCATTTCATTCTTATAAAGTTGATGATTATTGATTATTCTTATAAAGTTGATTATTACAAATTATTTCATACATTTTAATGATGTTTATACATAAACATGACCATTATGCTAATGTATTCAATGCAAAACATACACGCTTGTGTGTAATATAAAATGATTAATGTCAAATTGAAGTGTACGACAGAGCAAAAAGTGATCAGTATGAATTGAAATTAATTCCAAACAAAGATTATTTGGCAGGGTATGTCAGTGAATGAAATGTCTTTAACATCCACTGGAGCACTACAATTACCCATTGTACCTGTATTTTTTTTATTTTTTTTATTTGTTGTGTTTTTTTTTTTGTTTTTTTAACTTAGGCTCTCTTTATAAATAAAGAGAACTGTATCGAGTAATAATTAAAAAAAAAAAGAATATATATATATATTGCTTCTGAAGAACTGTAAAAAGAAAATCGATTTTACAATAAAAAATATTCACATTTCTGATTCAGTTTGTTCCTTCTTATTTCTTTGTAAACTTTTACCGATCAATGGCGATACGTTGGTAAGAGAATTGACTGATCAAATGATTTTGGTAAATGGCGCTAAAACAGATTACTTCTAAAAATTCATGTTTTGTCTTTGATACATGTTTTCTGTACTTGATCTGCTACAATCATTCAAGACTTGTTCATCACAATAACTACTGTTGCTATAAATTCATTACTTTCTTTAATCACAAATAAAATTCATTACTTTCTTTTAACCCAGATCAAAAGGAAAAAAATAAAACTCAAAACTTCAAACATGTCTACGGCAGGGTTAGTTTTGCCTTTACATCTTCCGTCAAATTTTGTTGTTTTCCTCTTTACTTCTTGTTTCCTACCTTTCTTTTGTTCTTCTCATTTTCTCCCCTGGCTCATCTCACTTGCCACCTACCTTTCCTCCTTCACCCTCACTCTCTCCTCTCCTTCTCATCTCATTTTTTCCTAATTTTATTATTATGACAAAATGAACTCAACATTTAATTGATGAGTTTGTATCAAAATAATCTACAGGAATATTGGTCAAAAATCATAACTGATTTTGCTTCAGAAAGGCTTGAAATGCTATTACCCTGGCCTGAGGTCAAAACATTTAATGGTTGTACATTCAAGTAGAATCAGTCCCTCTTTACTCCTTCCAGCTATGGATTAAATGGCAGGATAGAGTGGTCTCTCTAACCAGGGTTGGCAACCAGTCTAGGAGAAGGACAATGCTGAAGTCAAAACTCTGCCCACTGATGCTGTACAAAGATAGTCAGACATTGGATGAAGATACTATGACCATAAAGCAAGAACTTGATACTAGATTTCAACAACTTGGACAATCCTAGTAGAGAGCAACTATTCAGAATGTTGTTGACACCAAAATAGGCATTTGAGTCCTGGAAAGGTTTCTTTTCATGCCATATCATGTTATACACATGGATGACAAGTTATCATTGTGGCCTTCATCAGTTTCTCCAGGAATTTTGATTTTCTCTCCTTACAAGATTCTTTCAGTACATTCAGAAACTAAGTACTGATGTAGGTAGGTTAGAGACTACTTCATGAGACAGGACACCTTTTAACTGTGTAGAATTTAATTTCCTCCAAAGTTACTTGCCGAAACATGAATAGTATAAAAGTGAGCCATTGATTCCCATTAGTTTTCATAAATTCTTGATAATGACATGTTGCAGTGTTGTTTCTTTAATGCTCATTTGATAAATAAGAAAAAAGGTAACTAAAAAGAACAATATTAATGTCACTATTTTTATTATTATTAAAAATTGGTTGCTTGAAAAGAGAACAGAGGTTGGTATTCTCAACTCTCCAAAGTCCACTATAGGCATTAGTATAACATAGATATACTAACACCTTAATCAGATGGAAGGAAGACACTAATTCCAAAATGAGTTAAACATGTAAACATTTTTGTATACAAGACTGAAATATACAAATATAAGTCATACTAAGATGCAATATGCATGTGCGCACACAAACACACACATATAGTGATTTTCTAAGTGTGACTTAGATATGGCCCAAGGCTGAGTATGAGGCACCAAGTGAGGATCGAACTCACTACTCAGTCATAAATAATATAACAAGACAAGCATGTTAGCCATTACACTACGCCGAGGTGGGCACCTAGAGGCGGTGTAATGGTTAGCAAGCTTGTCTCGCTAGCACAATTACGAATGAGTAGTGAGTTCGATCCTCACTGGGTGCCCCATACTTTCGGCCTTGTGCCACATCTAAGCTACGCTTGGAAAATCGCTACACTACGCCGAGGTTCTGCACACACACACACACATATATATATATATATATATATATCTAAGAGGATAGAATCCAGGTAGACCTCAATGTCCAGGACAAAGCAAGAATATAATATAATAGGCTCAAACACTAATATTCCATGGTTATAATTTATTACATTGAAATTATAATCACGATCCAATTCATCAGACCTACAAAAAATTCAATATATATATATATACATATAAAATTCGGAGGACGCATATCTTCTATAAAAATTTCTCGGATATTCAGGCCGGTAAATGTCGTTAATACTGTTTATTATGAACAGAGCATTTACTTAAATATTTGTATATATAAAAAGAACGTATAAACATAAAAATGTCTTTATATATATATATAAATTTCCAAGAGGATAGAATCCAGGTAGAGCTCAACGTCCAGGACAGAGCAAGAAATAGAATTACAACTGCATATGTATGTATGCCCGAAAACATGAATGTATATTTGCACCTAGCCTTGGATTGCTTATATGGATCTTTTTGTGTGAACTACACCTGTATGTATGTGTGTCTATGTGTATGAGAGTGTCAACCCAAACAAACACAGAAGTAAATTCCCCCCACCACCAAACATAAACAAGCATAAATAGATCCAATTTTAAAAATAAACCAAATTGTCTGATGGTCGCAAAAGCATGAAACCCAGGCTCACAAACTCATATCCATACATCTGAATATATATATATATATATATATATATATATATATATATATATATATATATATATATAGGTGCAAGTGTCTTCTATACCAACCCCACACCACTCTACTACTGCAATTTTCATAAGGTAGTATTCATATAAAATACAATTTTTATTGTGATTTCATTGTGTACAATAATGGATCATATCCAATATAGGTGAACAATTCAACTAGAAAAAATGAAAATAAATACAATGTCTCTAAATACAAATTAGAGACATGTCATAACAGATCATTCCATCTTAAATAAATCAACAATGTTTTGTGGCAGTTTTTAACATCAACTGGAGATTTTTCTTGCTAAGTAGTTGAATAATTTTAACACATTCAACATTATAGATAAAAAAAAAAATAGTGAGTTTTGTATTGTAGAGTGGAAGACTTTACTAAAGGATTTCATATTATCGTCGGACCTTTGCAGTATACAGGTGAATGGAGGGACCGGTCATGCCGATAACCTTTCTTGGGAAGGACTACATTTCTGGTATATTGAATCTTCTTATATGTGCGATAAATAACTTAGAAGTGTTTTAACAGAGGATGAAATCTGAACGCGCATTGGGCTAGTGAAAGATATCTTCCAAATGCTAAGCAAAGTATGAAGAAACAGGAAAATTTCGCTAGAAACAAAAGAGTACTGAACTATTAGTGTAATATCGGTCCTCCTATATGGCAGTGAATGCTAGAGGATCTCATCACAGATGAAGAAGAGGCTTGTGTCAATAGAAATGTGATTCTACAGAAGGATAACATAAACTGATCATATGAGCAAAAAGTTTTAGGATAAATGAAAGGAAAAAGGGACACTTCTACTTAGAATCAGAAAGAGACAATTGAAATATCTTCGGTGCATCATGGGGAAAGAGAGCTTGGAGAGTTTGACACCGAAAGGACATATTCTAGGCAAGAGGAACATTGAGGATTAGTGCATAACCAACTTAAAGACCTTGTGTAAATGGTTGGCAGAACAGGCATCAGTAGAGATACTATGGAATACTTTATTCTTCACAATCCAATAGGAGAGAAAATAAGATATATATATATATATATATATATATATATATATATATATATATAAACTTGACTTTTTCTCCAGTTAATAGTGAAAGAGGAATATCTATTCACCATTTAATTTTCGATCAGAGCCAAAAAGTTTTATATCTGAGAAGTAGAAACTTTAATTCAAATTTTTAAAAACTTCCTAACCACGCGTGTCTGTTAGTAGGAGGGGCATATTGACGAAAGTACATTATTTTCCCCCTTTTTTTTCTATACTAATTTAATTTTATTTCAAATCATTAATAATATCACTTCCTTCTCAAGTCTACTTGTTACAATTGTACTTAAGTTGTACTTTTTCATTTTTGATTCATTTAAAAATATTTGTCCACAGATTGTTGCTTTTATTGTATTTGCAATCTTACTGGTCACTTCAGTGACTGACGAATCTGTTAAAGAGTTTCTTTTGTGTACATAAAATAAGTGCCGGAAAAAATCTTTGTTGTGACATGTGCAAATTGATTTTCCGTTAGATTTTTACTTCATTGGAGATATCTTGAGATCAAACTTAATAGTTAATAATACATTGACAGATTCTTAATCTCCATACCAAAACACATAATCTGAATTTAATCCCACACCCGCCCTCTCATTGCTGTTAATTTTATTTTCTACGTTTATCTTTATTTTTTTATATGCATCCCGACTGATAGTGAGGAGTCCGAAATCTTTGGTAACGCTTAGTGAGGTTGCTTTGATCGCCAGTCACACAATACCAGTATTTCCTACAGTGCCATGATGTTCATGGATAGTATATTCCTGCATGCGCTTCCTGTGGGTAACCCTAAAGGAAAATTATAATGTAGTCTGAGCCACTTCCAGTAGGTTTTTGTTGCCTTACACGAGTTGTGGCGACTATTGTTTTTGGACTCTTTCATTTCAAAACACGACAAAACAAAATAAAAGTAAACCAATTTCAATAGGAGTAGATAGATTCGCCTATCGTCTTGTTCCTACTCCTCCCCGGTCTTTGAAACATGAGTTTTGGTTTATCACGTGTTTCCTCTTTAGGATTGCGTTTCCGGTTCCTTCTAAGATCTATATTTCAACTCTATAGGTCTATCGTCACCGCCTAAATTTTGATTTTTTTTCCTTCAAGAAGGCCCACTTATCGTCTGGTTCATACTCTTCATCTTCCCCTTCTTTTGAACAGAAGTAGAGGTTTATCCCTTGTTTCCTATTTAGGATTGGGTTTTTCGGTTCCTTCTAAGTCTTTTCATTCTCTTTCATTCCAAGTAGGCCCTTGCGTCTTAGTGGTATTATCGCCTTGCTTGAGACAAATTGATTAAAAAAAAACATTTCGGTGACATGTCCCTTCCAAACAAAATACAATTATAAACAATGTTATTATTACTTTGTTTTTCTGACCTTGACTTTCTCGAGTTAATAGAGGGAGAGAAATATCTCTAATAGTGTCAAGGGGGTCAAACTCTTTGGAACTGACCCCTTGCCCGGTAAGAGAAAACATGAGCGACAGGTGTCACCGGGCCGTCATCCAGTGACTGTTCGCATCGAATAATTATTCTCGAATGTCCGAACATTAATTCGTTGTGACCATTTAGAAAATATAAGGTAGGAAATGAACACGCGAGACAGGCAAAGAGAAAAATAAGAGAGAAGTTGGACTGATATTAGATGAAGACAAGAGGAAATATGTTTTGGGATAGAGTCAACTATCGAAAAGAATTCTTGTTAAACTAAAAGGAAAGTTTTTCAATTTACCCATCATACTTATATTTGTTGCCTTCCAAAATCTAAGCAAAGTATTAAGAAACTGAAAAAAATCGTTAGAAACAAAGAGGACTGAAATGTTATGCAATATTAGTCCTTCTCTATGGCAGTGAATGTTGGCCAATCTCCTCACAGATGAAGAAGTGACTTGAAT